CAGTATTTCAGAAATAATCAATAAGGTAAACACTTAATACTTCTCTTAAAATGAAACTAATGAATATAATTTTTGAATTGAGTACTTGATTAACTGGAAATAATATCAACTAATTTTGGAAAGTTTTTATAAAATGATTTAATTGCAACTGAAAAGATTAATAAAATCTTCAAGGAATCAAGTTTCAATATTTCTAATGAAAATAAAAATGAGATTTTACAAGATGATAATTCAATTTTAAATCATATATAAATCAAGCAACTTAACTTACAACTACAGAATTTCAAAATATATTAGGATATCTTAAATTAGGCCTTAAATTAAAAGTAGTTTGTCAAATGAATTCAAAGATATAAAATTATAACAAGTAAAAACTCTATTTATATCAATAAGTTTAAACAATATGTATCGAAGTTTGATAAAGACTGATCTCTTATGCAAAAATTCACTTAGTTTGATTAAATTGAAGCTGAATTGAAGTTACACAAGCAAGAGAAGGATTCACTGTAAAATCAACTCACAGAAAGTGAATAGATTAATTTAGGGAATCAATAAGTTATAAAAGACCATAAGAAAAATTATGCAGAATAAATAAAATTAATATAAGATTTGAAGAGACAAAATGAAGGTTAATCAATTAAAACAAAAGAGCTTGAATAAAAAAGTAATATTAAGTAGTATTCAATCTCTTGATAGAAACTTAATGTGAAGTTATAGTTAAGGAGTAAAATCAGAAGAATGAGGAAATGATAAAATAATTATAATAAACTTTGGTATAAGTAAATTCTTTATTAGAAGTAGGATAGGTAATTCTCTTAATAACTGACTTTCTCGACAATTTATAGGCAAGTAATTGGTCAGTTACTTAAAATGGAAAAGCTATTGAGACAAGTTAAAATCATAGTTGGTAATGTTGTATGTGTGATTAAATGATCCCTAAGAATGGTTTAATCTAATTTGCTATTAAAATTATTGACATTAGTACAATTTTGACAGGAATTGGTTTTAGTTATATTGTGTAGAGTAGGAATTATGTCAATTGTTATGAGATTGGATAAGGGTATATTTATGATATTAATAAAATCAAAATAGAACATATAATATTCATTATGATGGTTAGTGTTATAATCATGATTAATAAGATAAACATAGAAAATTAATAGCATTTCCATTTTCAACAAATGATATTTAATTGTTGAAGTGGATATTTAAAAGAAGTATGTGAAATGAACAAAGTAATCCACAAATCAATCATTAGTATCAATTTCTATTTATTATTATTATTAGACTCTCAATATTGATACATCCAAAGATTTGTATCCATGTG